GACAGAGTTACTCTATGATAAAACAGGGGCGTACAATTTATACTAAAACAATAGCAGCCAAGATAAATTTACTAGCTTCTATACTTGACCAAACCACCACTCTCAAAAAGAGAATTACAGTGCACAAGGTAGTTTGACTTCATTTTCCAATATCATACCAAGTCAAAAAAAACAAATGAATCTCAGACCAAACCTGAATCCGCCCAGTACAATCAGATCTCACCTTTCTACCTCAATCAAACACTCCATAATACCCTACATAAGAAATTGACAAATTTGTACACTGGATTGCCACTGCACTTGCTCATATTCTAAAACACAAAAATCTCTCCCGATAAAACCTAGCATTAATCCAGCTACCCTTTTAGAAAATAAAAAATGGTAAGCAGAACCGTGATGAAACCAGCATGCTAGAAACTATATTGCACTTGTATCACAAAAACAGAATAAAGTACAACTGATATCAAGGCGTCGCGAAGCTTACTGTTAGGGAAAGTAGCTGAACTTTTGAATTCCTACTACCAAGTTTCTTCTTTATTCCCTTGACAACGTCCTTCGCTTGCCTGATAATCCAAACCAAACCAAAAACTTCCAAACTTAAGCAATCTTAACAAGTTCTTAGTGTTTAGCTTAGCCAAAATCTAGCTAAATCCATAAAACCTACATTTAGATTGAGAAGAAGCAGGCTTTTTCAATTTATTAAAAATGAATATAAAACAAGAGACATTAACAAGCCTTAAAAAATTATCACACAATTCAAAATATATAAACTTTGTCGTCAATTAATCAGAATTAACTGTTCGATCAAATTCGCTTGATTCGTAGCAAATTATCGAACGAAGAAAATATATTATCCAAAGCAGCAACAAACTAGGAAAAAAAGCAATGAATTACCAAAAAAAAAACTTAAAAGAGAAATAAAGAGAGAAGAATCAAGTGCGGCGCATACGAAGGGTCGCGATTGCATATATCACAGATCTCGATATTCATAGCCCAATCAGGCCCGATCAGCATGTCGCTCGTGGCTCTTTCCACCATAGCATTCACCATCTCTGCTTTTTCTGTTTTTTTTTTTTTTATCAAAATTCCTTCCACCGGAAACCACTTTCCTGACAAGATCTCTTTTCTTTTTTTCCCGCCGGAAACCACTTTCCTGACAAGATCTCTACTCAATTCCGGCGCCTAAATTCCGGTAAATAACCTAAAGCACTCTCTCTCTGTTAGGTGTTTCCCTCCTCCTCTCTATCTCTCTAGATCATTTCTTAATCGAAAGGTTTCTCTCTTAAAAGTTTCTCTCTAACAGAAAAATAAAATAAAATAGTTTGTTTTATTTTATTTTATTTTTGTATAATTTTTTTCTTTTTTAAATTTTCCTTATTTTTGTTTTGTATTTTTCCAGTTTTTCAATTGAATTATTTGGGGAGGTGGGTTTTAAAAATGGCTGACCATTAAGATGATGACACGCGTGGGAAGAGGTGACGTAATTAGTGGAGGTAAACTACATTATGACCCTGCAAGATCTTATAATATTCCGAATCGGGTCCTTGTTTTAAACTTCCTATTATTAATCCAATTATTATGGTCCTAAAGAGAAATCTAATGCAATTTATGTCCATTCCATATAATGTTAAAAAAAGGATTTTTCAATTTTTTTCTTATTTTTCTTGCATTTTTTTCTTTCCATTTTTCATATATGTGATATTTTTTTCTAAAATCTTTGAATTTAAAAACAAACAAATAATAATAATAATAATAAGTAGGCTTAATCACATTAGTTGTTATGTGTAATTCAGTGATAAAATAATTTTTTTATTTGAAAATTTGTGTTATGTGTTTGAGTGTATCATGTTAGATTTTAGACTATTATACATTATTTAAATTTTTTTAATTTCACTAATTTACAATTATATTGAATTTCTACTACTCATTAACTAAAATTATTTATAACAAAAATCATGTGATATAATATAATGATTAAATAATCTAGTATAATATATAAATAAAAAGAATATTATAATTCAAAGCATGTCCATAAAACTCATATAGTAAGGTATAACTTGATAAATGTTTAGTAATTGTTCTAAAACATAAGAGAAACAAATAGAAAAATTAAGATAAAATTAAAAATATCAAGAAAATTATATTTGGTAATGGTGCATCAAATACCATGAAAAATAAAAACAATGATTTTTTTTAACTATAAAGACAAGAATCTATTTGAGTATGTTTAATAATTTTTATTTTTTTATTTTTAAGGTGTTTTAAGTTACTTAGTTTCTTATATTTTTTTATTTTAATGTATATTATGTTTCTATGTGGGTTTTTCAGTAAATTGAATGATAACTATCTAGCAGTCAAGGGTTAATTTAAGACATATTATAAATTAGATGATTAAATAAAGAATTATCATCTAATAGAGACTGAAATGGAATATTCTTAATATATATAGGGACTATAATACGCTTGTTCTTGAGATGCCCGCGTTGATCGGCCGGCCATTCACAACCCAACGGTTTTTTTTATCGTTCATGCGGTGATTTCCACGGGGTTTCGGGCCATTGTGAAAGCAGCATTGAATTAACCCACCTGCTGCACGTTGATGAGAGTTGCATGCCGTTAAATGACATCATGTTACACCATCGAGCATGAAGTAATAAAGAAAGTTTTGTATTGATTAATACTGGAGTAATTATTATTTTTTAAAGTATTTTGATTATAAATATATTAAAATAATTTAAAAATATTAAAAATTAATTTTTTAAAAATACGGTGACGGAATGTTTAGCAATAACTTCAAAAGGAAGAGAAATAAGTGAAAAATTAACTATTTAAAGAAAAAAAATAAGATTTAAAAGGTTAAAAAAATAAATAATTTGATTTGATTTGATTTTATAATAATAATACGCAAACCTAAGCATGGTTACCAACGTTCAATTTTAGCTGATTTATATTAATCAGATTTGTTTAATAATAACAAGTAATTTTCTCGTTAATATAATTTATTAACAAAAACACGATGTAAAATAACATTTATTTTTAAACCATACTAATTTTTTGAAATTTTTTAAACTGTTTTATTTTTTTATAATTATTTTTTAAAAAAAATTATGCTTTTTGACATCAATAAAAATAATAATTTTTTCTTTACTTGTTTTGGGATTTTAATTTTGAATGTTTATAAATATATTAAAATAAAATAAATTATTTTAAAAAATTATTTTTGATATTAACATATTAAAATAATTTAAAATATTAAAAATTAATATTTTTTAAAATTTTTTGTTAAAAACACGGTGACAGAATGTTTAGCATTAAATTCAAAAGAAAGAGAAATAAGTGAAAAGGTAACTATTTAAAGAAAAAAATAAGATTTAAAAGGTTAAAAAATAAATAATTTAATTTAATTTAATTTTATAATAATAATATGCAAACCCAATGGTTACCAATGCGTTCGAGCTGGTTTATATTAATAAAAAATTTTCAACAATAATGATTAATTTTCTTGTTAATATAATAGAAACATGATGTAAAATAACACTTATCTTTGAACCATATTAATTTTTTTGAAGTTTTTTTTAAACTGTTTTATTTTTTAAAATTTTTTTGTAATTATATTTTTTTTAAAATTGTGCCTTTTGACATCGATAAAAATAATGATTTTTTCTTGACTTGTTTTGGGATTTTAATTTTGAATGTTAACATTCAAAAGAAAATGCACTTGTCAAGTTATCAATTAAACTAAAAGTATATATGGTAATGTTTGTACAGTGTTTTTGTAATAATGATTTTTAATTGAAAATGCATAAAAGTAATCAACTAAACGAAACTTGTCATTTGTCAAAGGACAACGATTAAACAATATGAAATAAAGTCTTTCGTCCTATGATTAAAGAAATATAAAGGTCGCCTGCTCCCGGTCAGACTGCTTTGCAATCTCAACGGACAAGAAAGTCTCCTGCCATCAGACCTCATTAAATAATAGCCTAACATGATAATGACATCTTTTCTGTTCAAAAAAAGAAAAAAACAATGGCACCTTCCGACGCATGGAAGAAGCATATCACCTCTTGCAAGGCAATGGCCTGGAACTATACTGGGAATTTGAGGCCTGTGAGTGGATGCTCCGCTCATTAGCTTTCAGGCACAAGCGTCCACCATGTGTTGATGCAACCTTTGTCTGTTTCTCTGATTCATCAGTATCAATTCCATAGCCATACATTATTTTATTAGATGCCTTATTATGGGGCTTTTTTATGGAAGAGTTCCAGTAATTTAGCTGGACATGGACATACAGCAGAGCCCCCAACGAGGTGGTTATGATCAAGGACATTCTTTCGGCAAGAGCAGGTAGGGCTGGAGCCAGATTTACTCTGTTTTCTATATTTTCATGAAAATGACTAGCCCCCCACTTGTAATTTCTTTTTAAAAAAATCCATTTAATTATGTTTTTCAAGTGATCCAGATCCTCTGATTATCTTGCATCAAGCAAGTATATCCACTGCAGGTCATTTTGCAGGATGAAAGAAAACCTAAGCACTGCACATTAATGTACCCTTCACCTTCTTTGATAACAAGGAAAGGGGGGAGATATGGATGTATTTCTTTGAAATGTAATTTGAAGCTGACTGTAAATTGCAGTTTTGAAATTTGGATGCTGGATCCACCAAACTATACAGCTACATCAGATGCCTTCACTCTCCACTGGAGATAGTGAGCCCTGAATAAGCAATTCGAATCAATTTATTTTGTTACAGAAGATGGTTTAACTTGTACACAGAAAAATATGTAGCTCCAACATCAAGCTCCACAGCCTGTGAAAGGAAAAGCAGCAGTATTTTGTCGTTGAAGTCCCACTTTGCAGCGCCAAAGAAAGGAAGAAATAATGGAGTCAAGGGACCGGCACTCGGACTGCAGGGGGGCCTGATTTCATGTCCTCTAGTATAAGAGCCAAGAGAGCCCGGGTAATGGGTCCTTCTTTGCCTACAAATGAATGCACGCCAAAATATAAATTTTAGGAAAATGATAAGTTTCCACCTGCATTGGTTTTCAAATATGACAAGGTTCCCCCCGAAATATAAATTTTAGGAAAATGGCTTGCATAAGGGACAGAATGAAATGCAGCGCACTTGGAGTGAAAAATAAGTGGCAAGGCAGTGCAAAGAGGGAGAAAGTATAGTACAATCATTTACCAAAGTTTTCCAGTCATGTGCTTCTGTGAATTTAGCTTTTGTGAGCTTCGAAAGGGGCCTACAATGGAAGATTTATGGTACAGTGGATGCACCAAGGTTTCGGCCATACAAAAAGAAAACTCAGCAACAAGAAAACAGTCATGCACAACTTTCATCACGGCTAAAGAGCCACCCACAATGGATGGCATCCTATTGATTTAATGGATAGTACCCTTGCTTTGTACTATGAATTGAAGAGAAGCAAGCAAAAATTTCGATCAATTTTATAAGGTTCTGAAAGCCATGTTGGCTCAATATCAACCTAGCATCATGCTTGCATGTAAAATTCAGCTTGAAGGATGCATAGTTTATTGCAGAGAAGTTTCTTACCATCACCAATGACCTGATTGTCCCACTGCACCACAGGGCGAACAAGTACTCCACTGCCAATAAGCATCATCTCATCTGCTTTCTTTCCTTCCTCTACAGTCACATCATCGATCTTTATTCCATGGAGTTTACCCTCCTTTACCAGTCCCTCTGCTAGTGTCAAAACTCTCTTAGCCGTGCACCCACTCAAAATTTTGTCAAAGGCAGGCATCAGAAGGTCTTTTTCCTTGGTAACAAATGCCACATTCATGCTGGGACCTTCAGCAACGAATCCATCATTATCCAGCCAAATAGATGCATATGCACCATTCTCTTCTGCTTCCATCTTTGAAAGTGCATTGGGAAGGTAATTTACACTTTTTACGGTGGCAAATTGCGGGGGTTTTATTGGGACTGATGAAGTTACTACCTTGATGCCTCTTGAATCACGTGGAGACTGATCTTGGATTACAATGGCATAAAGAGCTGGCTGATGGCAGTCAGATGGAGATAGTTGGAAATCACCAGGTCCTGCCGAGAGCCAGTACCTTAGTGATCCTGTCTTGCACTTTGAAGCACTCACTGTTTGTATGAGTATTCGCCTTATATTTTCCCTATCGAAAGGGAGATTGATTTTGGCCAAGGACGCTGACCTTAATATACGATCAAGGTGTTGGTCAAATTCATACAAGTGCCTGAGATGTGGTAACAGATGAGGATCTTGATTAGCAATTAATACTTGATTGATAGCTAAGTGAGGAATACTTGTTCAAATGGAAATATCAATGATTCATCAACATATCACCGCATGTTTTCCTTTTTTCAGTTGCCAAAGCAGTTTAATTTTCTTGTCCTTAAAATTTAGAGGATGATTGTTCCATCATATGCATTGCAGAAATGTTCGAAGAATCATATGAAACAGGGAGGTAAAATAATATACTTGAAATACAATGAGGTTAAAAATGCAAATCTTAGAAATTGTAAGGTTGCACAAAATCAGCATTTTAAAGGAATATTGAAGAACTTGGAAATTTAACTGTTTCCTGCAAAACTTCAAGAGCTTGCAACCATTTAAAATGTGAATCAAGCTTGGCAGATACAATAGAATCAAGAGTTGAATTAGTGGAGCCAAGAACTGTTTATACTGTAAATGTAAGACATTGTCACATTGAATCCTTAGAAACTTAAACATAATATTATGCCTGTGCTTTGCTATTTGAGCTTTTGGAGCATTGGTAGTATAACAATAGACTTAGAAACATGAAATTCGTTTACAGGTCTTGGTAGTTCAATGGATGCAAACAGCATAGTACTATTCCTATTTTATGAATAACAAAATAACTTCGAATGGTCTATAATAGTATTAGATTATTCAAGAAGAAAGGGTAATCCATCTGAAAAGTAAATTATACCAACCCATCTACTATTGCAGCAGTATCAAAGACACCATGTCCCCTGTGTACCATGTGGTCATCCAAAGGTATCACCATGGCTGATGTATCTGTTGTTATTCCTCCAAAAATGCTAGAGTACATGGCCAAGAATTGCTGCTTTCCTTTCTGATTTTCTCGGTTTTTCTTTAGCCTTTCAAAAGCCTTCAAAAACATATATATAAACGGCATTTAACCAAGCCTTCCCCTTCTCCATTTGCACCAAAATGGAATCAGACCAAAAAAAGTTTCTAAGCAATTAAGGAATACATCTTGACCTTTAATTTTTAATATAAAACAGAAATGTCTTCACTAACACCAAATTAAGCCCAGATCAACAAAACTATGCAACTTTTATTCACTATTATATCATCTCTTTAAGGACTGATCAATTTTCACCAATCTTTCTCCATAGCACAATTTAAAATCTACTCTTATTTAGCAGTAAAGTACAGTGAACCGTTTATTTTAAAAAAAAGAGAGTGCGGGAGAGAGAAGACGAACCTCTGAGCAGGTTAGGATTGGAACATCAGAGATTTGAGTATTAGAATCTGTCACCGCAAAGTAAAGACATTAGTATTAAATTTCTCACTAGTCTTTACATTCTATAATTTGTAGAGTAGAAATTGAAATCTAAGGAAGCCAGTAAAGGATCACATGGCATGGTGACTGGTTGAATTTTCAAAGAACACAACTTACCAACCAAAGCTTCAGCTTGATGAGAGCATCTAGCAATCTTCATTTTCCCAAACAACCCATGTTGTGAAATCAACCCAAGTCTTTGAAATGAAAGATTTCTCGGTACAAGACACGAATTATGCAAGTGATCAGGCAGATTTATGCTAGTATTTGGGTGTTGAAAACTGGGTTTTGGCAGAGAAGTTGAAAGAGAAGCCATGGGACCACAACCTAGTGAGAGAGTTTCTTCAAACTGCGGCCTGATCGTAGGTTGATGGTGGTGCTGATTAGTGTTTTAAAGTTCTGTGCTGGTGACTTCATGTAAACGGATTCCAAAGGAAAAGACAATGCTAGTGTATAAATTGGCCGGCGGAGATTTATATAGAAAGGATAAACTACAGTTATACCCTCTTACTATTTTATAAATTTCGGTTTGGTCCTTCTCCCACTGATTTATTAGCTCAGCCCATCAAAATTGCAAGCAGTCTCTCCCCTCCCATGGTTCCTTCTCCCACTGATTTACCGACTCAACCCATCCAGATTGCAAATAATCTTCCCCACCGTGGTTCCTACATAATTATAATAAAAAATTATAATTAGAGAGTCAGAGTATGGTGAAAAACAAATAATTTCAATAAATTTTATTTGATGAGAAATTATGCAAGTGATCAGGCAGATTTATGCTAGTATTTGGGTGTTGAAAACTGGGTTTTGGCAGAGAAGTTGAAAGAGAAGCCATGGGACCACAACCTAGTGAGAGAGTTTCTTCAAACTGCGGCCTGATCGTAGGTTGATGGTGGTGCTGATTAGTGTTTTAAAGTTCTGTGCTGGTGACTTCATGTAAACGGATTCCAAAGGAAAAGACAATGCCAGTGTATAAATTGGCCGGCGGAGATTTATATAGAAAGGATAAACTACAGTTATACCCTCTTACTATTTTATAAATTTCGGTTTGGTCCTTCTCCCACTGATTTACTAGCTCAGCCCATCAAAATTGCAAGCAGTCTCTCCCCTCCCATGGTTCCTTCTCCCACTGATTTACCGACTCAACCTATCCAAATTGCAAATAATCTTCCCCACCGTGGTTGCTACATAATTATAATAAAAAATTATAGTTAGAGAGTCAGATTATGGTGAAAAACACATAATTTCAATAAATTTTATTTGATGAGAGAGTTGTATTTACATGGTGATTTACATCTTGTTTTTTTTTATTGGGTCTTAAAGATATTTTTGAATCAGGTTAATCATTCATTTTTTAGTTGATTAGATGGTGATTTAATAGTAAAAATAGGTTTTCTGAGATCTTGTGGTTTCTATTATGTGTTTTTGAAAAAAAAAAGTGAAAATTAAGGTTTTTTTATCCTTTAGAGCTATTATTTAAATAACAAATAATATGTTACTTGCTATTTTTAAAAAAACAAGCAAATTTATTTTTAAAAACAAAAAAACTTAGGAGGAAAAATCCCCCACACACCTAGTCTCTTTTTAAATATTCAAACATGATAGGTCAGTATATAATTCTAGCCTTTTTTATTAAAAAAATTCATTTTTTAAAAGTAATTCTTAATTGATTTTTTTATTATTTTTTATGATTTTATTATTTAATATTTTATTTATTTAGAATTAAGCTGTATAATTTATTTTGATTTAATATTTGTAAATTTTTTATTGTATTAAATAGACACCCTTATATTTAATTAATATTTAATTTTATAAGCATTTATTTTTTTCATATAAATATATAAAAACTAGTTTTAAAATTAACAAAGTTATCAAATTTAATGGAGTTCATCCCCTAAATCATATATTTAGAGTGTTATTTTAGATTAATTAAAAATTAAATAAAAAATTATTTATTTTTTAAGATTATAATCTTAAATAAATATCTTAATATTACTATTATATAATTAATAAAAAATTATTTATTTTTTTAAACCTAATAGTGTTTATATCCAGTTGCGAGAAATTATGAAACCCAAATTGTTCTAATAAATTAATATCTTAATATTTATTTTTTTTATTGACATGGTGATTTACATCTTGTTTTTTTATTATTGGGTCATAGAGATATTTTTGAATCAGGTTAATCACTCATTTTTTAGTTGATTAGATGGTGATTTAATAGTAAAAATAGGTTTTTGAGATCTTGTGGTTTCTCTTATGTGTTTTTGAAAAAAAAAGTGAAAATTAAAGTTTTTTATCCTTTAGAGTCGGTCGCCTAACTTTATAGCTATTATTTAAATAATAAATAACATGTTACTTGCTATTTTTAAAAAAACAAGCAAATAAAAAAAACTCAAGCCCACACTCCTAGTCTCTTTTTAAATATTCAAACATGATAGGTCAGTCTATATATAAACCTAGTTTTCTTTATTAAAAAAAAATTATTCTTTAAAAGTAAATCTTGATTCATTTTTTTTATGATTTTATTATTTAATATTTTATTTATTTAAAATTAAATTATTTAATTTATTTTGATTTAATATTTATAAGTTTTTTCATTGTGTTAAAGAAATACTTTTAATTAATATTTAATTTTACAAACATCTATTTTTTTATATAAATATATAAAAACTAGTTTTAAAATGAACAAAGTTATTAAATCTGATGGAATTCATCCCCCGAATCACATATTTAGCATGTTATTTTAGATTAATTAAAAATTAAATAAAAAATTATTTATTTTTTAAGATTATCACAATTTCAAATAAATATCTCAATATTACTGTTATATAAATAAATAAATAATTATTTATTGTTTTAAACCTAGTAGTGTTCGTATTTAAATTGCGAGAAATTGTGAAACTCAAATTGTTTCAATAAATTAATATCTTAATATTTATTTTTAATTTTTTTATTAAAAATTAAATTATTTTTTTATTAATTTATTAATTTATTTTTAAATCAATCAAATCTATTATACAATGTAAGTTTTAAATGGTTTAATAAGAAATTTTAAGATTAACGTCCTAGCTGAACTAAATTTGACAAAAAAATACCCCCCCCCCCCCCCCCCCCCCTGGTTTAACAAAAAAAGTTAAGTAAAGAAATTTTAAGACTAGCTTCCATCTGACCTATCACTTGATAATATAACTAAAATAAATTTCAGCGAGATACATGAGTTATTGGATAATTAAATTACATAATTTTTTTTTTTAAGTATGACATGATAATCTCTAGAACCTAAGTTCAGGAAAAAAAATTTGATAAAAGGAACAAGACAATGTGGCTGGTGCTCTCTTCCTCTTCCTCCTTATCCTCTCCAAATCATAGTATAAATCTTTCTTTTCTTTCTTTTTATCACAAACAAACACTGCCTTTCTCTTCTAGGGTCAGGCTTTTCAAGTTCCCAACTTGTTCCTTGAAACTCTGTCTGATCTGATCCCCCTAAAAACAATGACCTCAACAACAACAGCAACTCAAATTCATGTTCTAACTGCAACTGGGTTCTCAACAAAACCTACCAATCTTTCTCCATCAACAGTCTTCTTCAGCCAATCACTCACCAAAACGACACACTCCCTTGGCCTTATTGCTACGACACCAACTATTTCAAGGTTTCCTGTTTCTACCAATGCAAAGGCCAATCCAACTGGAGAACAGAAATGGACCCATGAAGGCTCTGTCACTGAATCGCTACCTAATGGTATGTTTCGGGTTCGCCTAGACAACGAAGATTTAATTATCGGTTATATCTCTGGTAAGATACGCAAGAATTTTGTTCGGATTTTGCCAGGAGATAGAGTCAAGGTTGAAGTGAGTCGTTATGATTCGAGTAGAGGACGTATTGTTTATAGACTCCGCAATAGAGATCCGAGTAGTGAATGATTGGGCCGTATCATTTTCTTTTATGCAAGTTGTGGAAAACATTTGAATTCGTCACATTAATATTGTCATTCATGCTTGCAAATGAACTTATTATGTGGTTGTTCTTTTTGGTCTTTTCGGGGGGGG